GTGCACTCACATGTGTGTGAGTGCACACAGACATGCACAGGCAGAGCAGGGTGGGGCCATCCCATGGATTCCCACCCAGGCCCAGGGTCCCAACCCAGCTCAGGGACCTTCATGAACCACAACCACCACCTGCCACCCCTGGGGCACCCAGGGGCTGGGTGCCCCCCTGGATTCTGGGTGCCACTCATGAGTTCTGGGTGCCCCCTCAAGGTTGTGGGTGCCCTCAGGGTTGTAATGTCCCCAGGGTTCTGGGAGTCTCCAGGGCTCTGGGTGTCCTCTGAGAGTGTCCCCAGGGTTGTAATGTCCCCAGGGCCATGGGTGTCCTCTCAGGGCGTTCCCAGGATTGTGATATCCCCAGGGCTGTGGGTATCCCCAGGGTTCTGGGAGTCCCCAGGGCTGTGATGTCCCCAGGTTTGTGGGTGCCCTCTCAGGTGTCCCCAGGGCCATGGGTGCCCCCTCAAGGTTGTCCCCAGGGCTGTGATGTCCCCAGGGCCATGAGTGCACTCTCAGGGTGTCCCCAGGTTTGTGGGTGCCCTCTCAGGTGTCCCCAGGGCCGTAGGTGCCCCCCTGCCCCCCTGTCCATGTCTCACCAGGGAGGTGCCGCCGGTGTCGCGGTGCAGCCTCGGGCTCGTCAGGCTCTGCGCTGCTCGGGGAGGGGGACACAGCTCTGCTCCCCCAGCTCTGCCCCCACAGCTGTCCCCACTGTCCCCACTGTCCCTAAGGCCTCCACCTCACTCAGCAGAGCCAACACATTCCCCCCTCTTTGTCCTTTCTGTCTCCTTCCCTCCACCTCAGCCAGCACCGCGCTGTTCTCTCACCCTGGCATCCTCTCCCAACGCTGCCCCTTCTCCCAGCCCGACCTCCGAAGGATCCTTCCCCTCTGCCCTTTTATACCGTCTTTGTTCATATGACAAGCACGTGGAAAACCAGAGCAGAGCTCGGAAAAAAGCTCCTTAAGTTGCTTTAATTCAGTTTCCTGGATCCCATGACTGAGCTCGGCCTCTGAGCGAGGTCTCATGACTGTGGCACGCAGGCCCCGGCCATCAAAAGCCTCATTTATGCCCCAAATGAGACTTAAACCCCTCTTGGCCGGACCCAACGTCCCCCATGCCCAGCTGGGGCCCCTGGGCCCCCCTGGCTGGGGGTCCAAACCGGCCAGAGGGACACCTGCCCTGACCCTGCTCTGCTCTGGCTGCAGGAGGGACTCTGGGGACACTCAGGGCCTTGGCTCTGCCTGTCCCCTCCAGGAAAGGACACTGCAGAGTCCCCATCCAGGGACCAAAACTGTCCAGCCCTGTCCCCCACCCAGTGCCCTGCCTTCACCCCAAGCTGCAGCACCAGAGGAGGGGACAGAAATGTGATCCCAGAGGGGACAGAAGTGTGATCCCAGAGGGGACAGAAGTGTGATCCCAGAGGGGACAGAAGTGCCACCTCAAATGGATGGAAGTGTGATCCCAAAGGGACAGAAGTGCCATCCCAGTGGCTCGTGGCCCATTCTGGCCCCAGGTGGGGGTTCCTGTGCCCAGGACCCCCAGCCCACACCCCCTGAGGCCCCTGCAGCTCTCACGGGGTGGGTGCTCCTCTGTCCCTCCCTGCTGCAGCTGCAGAGTGGGGATGGAGCCTCATCCTGGGCCAGATCCAGACCCTGATCCCAGATCCCAGTCAGGGCTCCCCACCATGGAGGTGGCACCCAGCAATGCCCATCTCCATGGACTCCCATATTCCCAGCCTGCCTCTGGACTTTGGGGATCAGGCTGAACTTTCCTGACCTTTTGCCTTTGTTTTAGACTCAGACACAGGAAAAACAACCTCGAGCCACCTCAACATCCCCCCAAAGCCCAGGAGCTCTGAGCCATCCTGCTGGCGAGGCAGAGCTGAAGCATCTGCAGTTCAACAGGAAACAGCAGCAGTAAGAGGATAAAAATACCCTGGGTGCACACAGAACGTCTCTGTGCCAGGATTAGGGAGCCCTGGGACAGTGGGGCCAGAGGGAGCTGGGCTGGGAGGCTTTGGCTTCCCAAGGCTCCTAAACCACCTGGCCACTGCTGGCACAGGAATGGGGAAAGAAGGAGAGGGGATTGTGCAGGGAGAAGCCAGAAATCCCACCCAGCTCCTGGACCCCAAAATCCCCCTGGCAATGAGTGAGGCCCCTCCAGAGCCACCCACTCCTCTGCCAGCTCCTGCACAGCCCCAGCACCAAGGAAGACTCATCCCTCCTGCTCTGCTCCTGGGGGCAGAGGGATCTGTGGGGAGCAGGGGGTCCCGTGCCCCCCACCTCGACCCCCCAGCCCCAAACAATGGGTGCATTGGAGTGCTCAGAGCGTGGGGGTGCAGCACAGCCCCCGCCTGGCCCCTGAGCCCCTAAGGAGATTAAATCCCTCCTCACATGAGCCTGGCGGGCCCCAGGGCCTCTGTCGGGGACAGGACAGGGACAGGGAGGGGAAGGGAAGGGCTCAGCAGTGTTTTGCTGTTTGGGCTGGGGCCAGGGATGTCCCAGGGGCAGGAAAACACACAGACAGGCAGCTCTTCCTGAGGTGAAAGAGCAGGCACTGTCCCAAAAATCACCCACCAGAGCCTCTGCCCTTCCCTGGGGCAAATTTCCTGTGTGCTGGTGGGAGGACTGTGGGACACCCCTGCCTCTGCCCCCACGGCCTGAGCACCCCCACAATCACTGAGGTCCCCACACAGCTCTGGTCAGAACTGGGCATGGAGCAGGTCAAAAATAAGGTTTGCTCTCCCCAGGACCAGCCTGTGTCCACCCTTGTGGTGCTGGCCTGGTACAGAGCAGGCCATGGGGATGTCCCCCTTCCCCTGTGGCACACCCAGCCCCAGGAAGGCTGAGGCCATCCTCCACCCTAATGGCACAGGACAGGGGAATGGGCTCCTGCTGTCCCCAAGTCCCACTGGACACACAGAGCTTTGGTCCCAGGGGCCAAGGGCATCTTCCCTGCTCCTGTGGGCACCTTGGGATCACCCAGTCCCCAGAGGAGGGTGACAAGCACTGGGGATCTGGCCAAGGGCAGTCTAGGGAAGGTGCTGAACAGGGGAAGGCTGAGGGGCTGGACACCGTGGGGCTGGCTCAGGAGCCCCCAGGGGTAGCCAGGGAAAGGGCACACACAGGTGAAACGTTAAACCTCTGCTCTTTATTTGCTGCCTGCTTCCCTCACCCCGAGGAGGTTTCCAGGGGTGACCTGAGCACCAGGAGTGCTCTGGGAGCAGCCCAGACTGGAGGAGGTGTGGGGCAGGGGGGCACCTCCTCCATGCATCCCCATTGTCCCCGTGGGGACACGGCTCTGCCCCAGCCGGGGTGAACACCGGGCACGGCCAGCGCTGGGCCCGGGAAAGCTCCGTGGAGAGCAGGAACTGCCCCCTCCCGTGTCCCAGGCACGGGGACACCGCGAGGGGCCGGCCCAGCCCCTCTCCAACTCGCCTTATTGCTATGGTCAGAGCAGCAGAGCGGCCGGGAGGGACTCGGGGCGTCGCCGGTTTGGGAGAGGGGACGAGGACGTGTCTGAAGCCAAGGATCCACCCCCGGAGGGTGGGCTCATGTCTCTGGGGAGGGGCAAGGAGGGAGCTGCCGTCTCTGGCCAGCCGGGCCGGGGGTGCCAGCAGCGCCAGGCTGGCACCAGCAGGGAGGAGAGCTGTGCTCACATCTGAGAGCAAACACTGTCCATTGCAGGGCCTCCCGCCCTCTCCTGAGCCTGGAGCCGAGGCTGAGCAAACTCATTACAGCTCCAGCAGCAGGGACTGGGGAGAGCTACTGGGAGAACTGGAGAAACAAGCAGAACCCCCCTGCCTGTGGCCCTGGCTAGTTGCGTTGGCTGGCCAGCTCCTGGGAGATGAATTTCCGAAGGCGCTCGAGGTACTGGCTGTAGAGTTCAATGTCATTGTGCCCCGCCCCGTCCACCCACAGCGGCTCCACGGCCTTGGGGCAGCGCTCAAACAGTGCCAGGCCGTGCGAGAAGTCGATGACTTCGTCCTCTGTACCGTGGATGATGAGCACAGGAGAGGTGATTTTGGAGATCTTCTCGATGCTGTCAGAAAGGTGGGTGGGGGAGAGAGGAGAGAGGAGGTAAGCACAGGGAATGAGACATTGCCACTCCTCCTGCCCCCAAAACATCCCCTGGGACAGGGACCGGGAAATGCTCTTTGATCGTGGCAGAGCACAGGGACAGGGAGGGACACAGAGCTTCTGCCAAGGAAAAGATCTGCCCCAGTGTGACAGACAAGGAGCAGACAGCAGTGACAACATCCCCCTGGGACCTCAGCAGGGCTGATGGGAACTGCAGCAGGACAGCCCTGCCCTGCTGGGCTCTGAGGAAGGGAAGCACAGGTCCCAGCCCATCCCAAAGGCCACGTGAGGCCACCAGGATGCAGAGCGTGGGCTGGTGGCTCCCAGCCACAGCTTCCGGCTCAGGGACTGTCCCCTGGGCCCCACGGGCCTGGCTGCAAGGGAGAGGCAAAGGAAGAGCTCAGCCTCTCGGCACCCCTCCTGCTGCCATCTGAAGAGCAGGAAATACCCCAAGGAATTACTCTTGGGGGACAGAGGGGTCCCAGGGACAGCTGACAGGGGCCAGCAGCACAGCCCCAAAGCTGGTGGGCAAAGTCACTGGGATGGGGTGGCCAGGAGATGGCACAGGGGAGTGGGGTACACCCATGGCACAGGGAGGGGGCACAGTGACCCCAGACAGGGCTACAACTCCCAGAGGACACTAAATACAGGGCAAGAAGATTCCGAAAGGGGATATTTAAACCTATCACAAAAAACGGTCCCCTGGCTGTGCCCAGAGCTGCTCTGGGCACTGCCCCTCCAACCCCCCCATGCCCCCTGCCCAGGGCACTCACTTGGGGAAGGCATCGAACCAGTAGGTCTTCTTGGTGTCGGGGAAGGCGACGCGCATGCCGGAGGTGAGCGGGGAGTGCAGCACGATGGCCGCGCACTCGTAGCGCGAGGCCAGGTCAACCGTGGGCACGGTGCCGATGCTCTGTCCGTACAAAATTATGTTCTCCGGGCTGATCCCGTACCTGCATGGGACAGGGCAGCTCAGTGGGCAGGCAGAGACAGCGCAGGGGTTACTCTGTGCTGGTCACTGCACCCACAAGGCTCCTGGCAGGTCTGGGGTCTGTCTGACCCCCTGAACCTCCCCAGCTCCTCATGGCTGGACTCAGAGCTGTTCCCTGTACTCCCAAAGGACCAGGGAGCAGCCAGGACTGAGCTGCCAGCTGAGTTCTGGGGGATGTCAAAGCTTTCCCTCACCAGGTCAGAGTTTTAGGGTGTTCAGAGCCTGGACTGCAACCAGTGGGGCAGCCCCAGCTCTGGATCACACCATGAGCCAGGCCTGAGGAAGAGGAGGCAGAGCCTGGCATGGAAATGCACCCCAAGCCTGGCAGGAAAACCAGAGCTAGGCCTGGCACGGGGCTGCATCCCAAACCTGGCAGGAGAACCAGAGCTGAGCCTGGGCACGGGAACCAGAGCTGAGCCTGGCACAGGGCTGCACCCCAAGGCTGGCAGGGGAACCAGAGCTGAGCCTGGCACAGGGCTGCACCCCAAGGCTGGCAGGGGAACCAGAGCTGAGCCTGGGCACAGGAACCAGAGCTGAGCCTGGCATGGAGCTGCACCCCAAACCTGGCAGGAGAACCAGAGCTGAGCCTGGCCTGGGGCTGCACACCCAGCCTGGCATGGGAACCAGAGCTGAGCCTGGCATGGGGCTGCACCCCAAACCTGGCTGGAGAACCAGAGGTGAGCCTGGCATGGGAACCAGAGCTGAGCCTGGCATGGGGCTGCACCCCAAGCCTGCCAGGGGAACCAGAACTGAGCCTAGCATGGGAACCAGGGCTGAGCCTGGCATAGTGACACAGGAAGCACAGCTTGTGCCAAGGTCATGCCCCGCATCATCCCTGCCCTTTGAATCCCCCAGCTGCTCCCTCTACAGTTTTCCAACCACCCCTTCCTGTCTCCAGCAGCCCAGGGTTCCCTCCTGGGAGGTTTCCTGTTTTGCAGGCTGCTGAGCCCAGGGCTTCCCTGCAGGGTTTCCAGGCTCTGCCCGCTCACCGCGTGCGCAGCGCCTGCCACGCGGCGTCGATGTCGGAGTAGAGGTTGCGCTCCGA